ATCCATTCATGCATTCCTGCATCCATCTATGTATCCAACCACTCATCCGTTCGTCCATCCATTCATGCATTCCTGCATCCATCTATGTATCCAACTATTCATCCGTTTGTCCATCCATTCATGCATTCCTGCATCCATCTATGTATCCAACCACTCATCCGTTTGTCCATCCATTCATGCATTCCTGCATCCATCTATGTATCCAACCATTCATCCGTTCTTCCATTTATTCATGCATTCCTGCATCCATCTACGTATCCAACCACTCATCCGTTCGTCCATCCACTCATGCATTCCTGCATCCACCTATGTATGCAACCACTAATCCGTTCGTCCGTGCATCCATCTGTCCACCACTCATCTATTTATCCAGTGAATCGACAAATCCATAACGACCTACTAATGAGTTTATTCGATTACTTCATAGGAGTGTTTAAAAAAGAAGGACCTTTTGATGTTTTTGTGGACATCAATGCAGTTCAGGAGCTGCACTGTGTAACGGTAAGAAACTAACATAAACTTGCACAATGCCTTCATGCACTTTATTAGTTTTTCCGTTTAGGAGTCCAAAGACTCAATCAACTGAATGCATCTCGTAAATCTCATTATCAGCAAATACTGCCCCATGTGCAATCTTCATGAACATTTTCATAGAAAACGTGCCAGTCAGCTGATAAAAATGCCACACCAGACCGGATATGACGTCTATTGATAGCGACCTATGGTCATTTGGTTGTGGGTGGATCAAAGATGATGATCTAAAGTTGATTCTTAAATATTACTTTGCATTTAGGAGGTTAATAATCATCTTATTGTTGGTGGAGGGGTTTCGTTGTCATCTTTCATCAAACTTTGCGAGGAAAACGCGAACAAGTCATCTTCCTTTACACCCATTGCCGAGCATCTTAGAGTGGTAAGTAAAAAATAAAAAATGGGAGGCTAGGAGACTGGTAGCTAATCTGCCGCTGGGAGACTGGGCAAATGATTTAGAAAGCAGGAATATCGCTTACAGTTTGGCGAGTCTTGAGCAAAAATTTTAAAGAAAAAAAAAAAAGAAAAAAAAAGAAGAAAAAAATGGAATAATACCTTAATTAGGTACACTTTTTAGGTCACCCATCCAGGAGCTAGTCTCCCCTTACGGACTTGTCTCAATATCTTGAATGCCCAAGTTTTTTCCACTGGGCCACGCTCCCAGCTAAATCAGCATAACAATAGTTGTGAAAACAATGTACCGAATAGACTAGACTTTTTAACATAAAATTTTCAACCGATTCCGTGCGTGGCAGAGATGCAAGGGATTAGCCGATATGGTCTGGGGGCCGGCTGGTCTCTCCCCTGATGCTTCGGCTAGAACATTTTCTTGCGTAATTCGTACACCCAAGGGCAGAAGGATTTAATCGCCGTCAGGTCCGAAGTCCATACGACGCCTCAGCTCTGCGGATGTCTCGGGGGTATGGCAAAGTTGAATCGATTTTTAAAAAATTTTGTCGTTGGATTTTGGTTCAAATCCCACCGTTTCGAGAGAAAAAATTTTTTTTAACCATTACTTTTTCAAATTGTTAATTGGATTCAAACCCGCCACATCTATTTTCTTTTTTTCTTTCTTTTTTTTTATCTTAAAAAAAAAAAGATTTCTTGTTGCTTGTGATTAAGTTAATCTCAATCCGACAGAAAGTCGGGCTTGTATTTTCTGGTTTGAAATACTGCCTGGAAAAAGTTTACTAATCATGACAGTGGGTATTGCTATACTTGTTTTCCAAGTATTTTTTAAAATCTCTACATTCCTATATTAATATAGTTTCCGAAAGAGTCGTTTTTACTCTGTTTTGGGGGTCATTTCTACATCGTTACTGCTACTGAGGTCACTTTCTACCCATTGTCCACCCATTCCTATATCGTTACTGCTACTGAGGTCACTGTCTACCCATTGTCCACCCATTCCTATGTCGTTACTGCTACTGAAGCTTACTGAGGTCACTGTCTACCCATTGTCCACCCTTTCCTATCTCGTTACTGCTACTGAGGTCACTGTCTACACATTGTCCACCCATTCCTATATTGTAACTGCTACTGAGGTCACTGTCTACCCATTGTCCACCCATTTCTGTATTGTTACTTCAGCAATCAATAATCGATCGTTTTATTTGCATTTGCAGGTCGCCAACACTCCCGTTCGAAATGTAAGATTATTTATAGCTCGCATTACGATGCGACGCGTGCTACCATGGCAGCCCATGTTAGAAAAGACCCAAACCCTGTTCGCTAGTATAACATAAAGGCCAAACTCAGTCGTGATGTTATTCAAAAAATAAGATCTGGCCTATAATAAACTAATAGTSGTAACTTGTCAAAACGTATATTTGGGTGGCCATTATAGGACGCTTCCTATGCTATAGAGGCTTTGCACCATCACGTGATGGCAGCCATGGCCATGACAGGAGGCAGGAACAATTGATACTCTAGGGAATGACACGTGGTCAGAAAGTTTCAAAACATTACTTCCAAACTAATAGCCAGGTCTATTGCATTCTGATTAAGCAATGGAACATGCATATTTATGCTAACCTTGTTTCTTTCAGGTTGGGTCCCTTGCTGGTAATCTGATGTTGGCTCACGACCATTCAGACTTTCCTTCAGACCTCATGACCATCCTTGAAACTGCAGGAGCATCCGTACTGATTGGTGAGTAGAAGAGTTCGAAGAGAAGACCATGCAGTGTCTGGTGTTGAAGGCGGAAAACTAAATCAGGAGGACATATATTTTTTTATGTTTGCAGGTGGACCCCAGCTTACTCAAGTATCTTTGAAAGACTTCTTGACTACTGACATGAAGAGGAAGGTAGGTCACTGGATTGTTTTGAAGGGTTTGTCTATTTGGCTGGGTAATGGTTACTAACGAGTTGTTTGTTCTTTATGTAGGTTCTTGTAGCCATTATTCTTCCCTTTCTTCCTGCAAATGTCGTCATGAGGACTTTCAAGATTACACCGAGGTCACAGGTAAATGATTCAATTAACAATGACACAAATGCATTATTAATCACCAACACCACCATTTTTATCATCATCATTATCATCATCCTCGTCATTGTAATCATCATCAACATCAACGTCGTAATACATCATCATCATCATCATCATCATCACCAACACAACCATCATTATCATCATCATGATCATGATAAGAA